TGCACCAGGTTTTGTTTGTTTTCTTCCCGAGTATTTTCCAAACATTGATGTTTCTTCCAAGTGTTTCCCAAATATTGATATTTCTCCCACGTGTTTTGCAAATATTTGGGGTTTTGCTCTCCCAAAATCTGTTCCCACTGTCGCAGGCAGAGAAAAATGGGATTTTGGATGCTTTTTAAGGCTTTGGAGACATTGGGATCTCCTCGCTGCATCCCCCCGGAGCCAGGGGACGAGCACTCGGCTCTCACAGAGTTTAATTCATGTGGAGGCTGCAGCACTGTTAGTTTTTAACGGGAGCCATTGGCAGGTGGATCACTGAGCAGCTCCTCCTGCATCCGCCCCCTGCTCTCAGCATCGCTCCCCTTCCCACCTCTGCTAATTACACATCCTGCCTAATTGCTGCCCTTTTGCCCCTCTGGCTCAGGGAGGCAGAGCAGGAGCAGAACCCAGAGCTTTGCTTTCCAGGGTGGGAGGGAGGGTGAGGATGGGGAAGGATGGAGAGGATGGGGATGGGGAGGATGCTTGGGGCAGGGCAGGGTGACCCCCATGAAATGCCCTTTCCTGGAGGGAATGCAGCAATGGGACATGAGGGCAGAGCAATTGGGGTTCATGTTGTGGTTCAAGGCAGAAAACCATGGCCAAGCCCTCGGGTGTTCCGTGTGAAGGGTTGCCTGGAGAAAGCGGTGAGAAGAGTTTTCCTTTGGGGCCGCAGGAGGCAGGGCTCAAGCAAGGCACCAGGTAACTTCCACCTGCAGCTTTGCCATCAGCAGCTTGATAACGATTTACTGCCCAGATTCCTTCTTTCATTTGTTGCAAAAGATTTTAGTGCTTTCAATGGGTAAAAATCAGGTTTGTCCCGTGTTGTGTGGGTGAGGATGGAAGGGATGGAGGCAGGGATGCAGTGCATGTCTTTCATGTGGCTGTTAACCGGTTAGGTGCCATGTGCTGCTGCTCGGCTTGTCCCCGATGAGTCCTTGCTCAGGGCTGTGTTGGTGCCGGTGCTGATTCCCAGGATGTACCCCAATATCCTGCTCACTGTCCCCTTCCAGAGTGGGATAAACGCCCTGGGGAGCACTGGGTCTCCTGCAGCATCATGGCCTGAAAATTAAAGCCATAAATTGCTGGTGCAGGTGCTCACCCTCATCCAGGGAAGAGTGGGCTCAGAGAGGGATGCTGCTGCCAGCACAGGCCTGGGGATAGCAGGGGCTATGGGAGCAGCATGGAGCATCCTTCCTGTCCTTCCTGGTCCTAAGCATCCTTCCTGGTGCCAAGCATCCTCCTTGGTACCAACCATCCTTCCTGGTACCAAGCATCCTTCTCATTATCGAGCATCCTTCCTGATGATGTGCATCTTTTCCGGTGTTGAGCATCCTTCCTAGTGCTGAGCATCTTTCCTGGCGCCGTTTTGATCCCAAACTGCTTTCGCAGAGCAGACACTGATTCCCAGAGCCCTGATGCAGCTCCTGTGAGCTCCTCGGGTGCCGAATTGTTCGCCTGACTGACAGCTGAGCAGCACAGACAGGTCTATTATTGCTATGGGGCCCGGGCCCCGCGGGCCTGCAATTTAGGTCTGCGCTATTAACCTTGCCTTGTTCTCCACTTTGTAACCGCTTTAGTGCCTTTAAAAGTGTACGGTTAAAATCAGGGTTAATTAGGGGCCCGGCAGCTGGGCTTAACTGGCGCCCATTGTGTCCCAGTGGAGCCAGGCTGGGGTAATTGGGGACTGTTGTGGGTTTGTGCTGGTGGACTCCTGCGAGCACAAGCCCTGTATGGTCGGTCTCTGGTTGGCTTTGGTCTCTTCTGCCCTAAGGATGGCTTTGGTTTGCTCCCTTCCCCTCCTTTCGACCCATCTTTCCTACTTTCCCAGCGCTTGAGGGCTGTGGCTGCAGCTGGACATGGCATAGGAGCATCTGGGGATGCAGAGGATGCAGGGGATATGGGGAATGCTGGGGTAACAGGGGATGGAGAGATATCAGAGATGCTGGGGAAACAGGGGATACGGGAGATGCTGGGGAAATGGGATGGAGAGATATTAGAGATGCTGGGGAAAAAAGGGGGTACAGGAGATGCTGGGGATGCGAGGGATAAGGGTGATAGGAGGGATAGGAGGGATGCAGGGATGTGGGGGATGCAGGGGATACAAGGGACACGAGCAGTGCATGCACATGCCAGGAGAGGCTTCTGGGGGGGGGGGGGGTGTTTCTCAGGGCACCCCCATCGCTGTTGGACATTTTGCTGCTCGGGGCACAGCGGGGCCAGAACTCCCTGACCCATAAAGAGGGATTTATTCCGGCTCGCGGCACCGGTGGGGTCTGGGATTTACATCTGTGTCTGGAGCCGGGTTTGGTGGCCAATTTGCTAAAGTAAAAAGTTGTTTAGCTGGAGGCGTAATCTTATAAGCCTGTGCTGCCATTATAATGGCTTCTCGTTTCTGCCTGGCTTTCCAATAATGCTGGGAGCAGGAGCTCGGAGTAATATAAAAAGCCATCGGATTATTACTGCGGGCAATGCATTTTCCATTTACAGTAATAAAATACTGAAGAAACAAAACAATTTAAAATTCCAATAAAATTCAAACCAAATCTTTGGCTGCTGAGCAGATTCAATTATTTAGCTGTTATTGAGTGCAGGCTGGGAAAATAGAGCAGGTCAGGGAGGGAGGGAATGCTCGGAGCGGGGAGCGTGCTGGCCGCATCCCATGGGAACACTGGTGAGGAAGGGAGCCAGAGAAACATCACTGTGGATGGAGGCTTGTCCCTGTGCCCGGTGCCTGGATTTAGGGATGAGATCCCAGTGTGATGGCTCTGATGGTCCAAGTGGAAGAGGTGCCTGGTGAGTGCTGACGGTGACTGGTTGGTTGGTTGGGGATGGTTTGCCTCTCGCAGTAATTGCATCCCATTGGAAAGCAGTAATTACTGTGGAGATGGGGAGCACCGGAGCCCACGGCACACCGCTCCCTGTTCGGTGCATCACCCTCCGTGTGACAGCACACTGGGCTGGAGGCTTCTCACAGCCAGCCCAGCTGGAGCAGAGAGGCAACAAAGGCTCTCCCATCGGCTGGATCGCTGCATTCCCTGAGCACCCACCAGCACTGGGGATCATGAGTGGGATACCCTTGGCCAAGCTTTGCTCACTGGTGCAGGCAGCTCTGCTGTACCACTACATGCTGCATGGGGCTATCCCCAAAGCATCGCTGCTGTCCCAGTGCTTGGGGATGGCTTTTTGGCCACGGTGGCCACGGGCGATGCTGCCTCCCTCCTCTTTCCATCAGTGTCCCCTTTTCCTTTAATGTTTTCCCTTGGGAAGGAGCGTTTCCATGGAATGGGCTCATTAGGGATTCTGCAAGTGTCACCAGCTAATTAGTGTCGTGTTAATTGAGTATTCACGATGCTGCCACCTCCAAGGACAGCGGTGCCAGCATGAAGGGGAATGCAGATGTGCGTGGCTCCGTGCGCTGTGCCCATGCCCTGGTGCACGCTCCTGTGTGCCCTGTGCAGCTCTGCAAGGCCACCAGGGCTCCGGAGCTTCCCGGAGGTTGGATGGTCCATGGTAGGATGGTGCAGGCTGGGATGCCGTGTGCCTGCACGTGGCATGCCATAGGGAGCTGCGGCGCCTCCTGTCTCTCCCAGCAGCTCCATTAAATCCTGCTCAGAGTCCCTGGTTTTAATTGGCTTAATACACTCGTTAATAACAATGTCTATTTAAGACACCTGTAAAAAGCCCATAACATTTGCTTAATGGGGGGAATGGCTGGTGAGCGCTCCGCCGTGCTGCCTCTGCAATTACTGCTGCACCGCTCGGGAGGAGAGGATGGAGAGAGGCCTCGCTCCTGCATCCCCACACAGCGTGCTGACATGGACTGTCCCCCTGGATCCTGGTTCTAACGCTGTTCCCACGTGCGCAGGCAGCATCCCATGGCGTAGGATTGAGGTAGGCCGGTGTAACGGCTTGGTTAGGTGTGCTGCATGCATCTGATGGAGCACCTATTCCACGGTGACTTTGCCACCATGGAAGCACATGGTGGCATCAGGAATCACAGGTGCCGGTGGCATCCGGAGCTAAGTGCTCCCCTGCAGGGATGCTGAGTGGCTGCGGTCCCTTTCCCTGGGTACCGTGGGGATGGGCTGCTTGAGAGCATCCAAGATGGACCTGCAGCAGGGGAAGGGCTCCTCATCATGGGGGTCTCAGCCCCAAACCCCCCACTTTTGAGCATCTCTCCCTTGCAAATCCTGTCTCTGGGGCACACATTGGGTCTGGCGTTCCCGGGATGCTGCAGACATCCCTTAGGAGGGCTGGGGAGCAGACATCATCCCCTGTGCTCTGGCATGTGTGTGCATGTGCCTCTGTATATGCATGTGTGTGTGTGGAGGTTTTAAACACCTAATTTATTCCATCTATTAGATAGATTTTGTAGATTTAATCATTTTCACAGTTGGTGGCTCATTGGATACTCAAGATAAACTCCAAATGAAAGTATAATGGGTACGACAAATGAGTTTTCACACCAGAATGGCAGAAACTTGCTCGGGAAAGAGTTTGAAAGGAACAAAACTATATACATATATCCATTTTTTTCCCCCGCAGTGGCTTTTGCTGACTCCAGTAGGTTACCACAGTTAATTTCACCAGTTTTGTTCATCTGTAAAATTGCATAAAAGTGACATTTTTGTGCTCATTATAGGAACTGCTGATTTATGGCTGGTAAATGCAATGCTCTTCCATTTTTGGTGAGGTTCTCGTAGCAGCGCAAAGCACCCATGAAATTGCTTGTATAATGTAGTTTAAATCCAATCTCGGAGAAAGATTCCCCCGTTGGGTAAAGTGACATTTCCATTCTCCACACCGAGTTTATTTTAGGCCACTTACAAACGGCTCCGTCAGCGGGAGGGGGCAGGTTGGTGCCGTGACCTGGTTTCTGCCGGCAGCGGGTGATGGGTGCCGGGCTGCCGGGTCCCCGCTTCCCAAAGGCACCGGATTCACCCTGTGCTTCGCTCCCGCAGGTGAGACGGCGGCACCGATGCATTCCCCGCGCTACCCCAGCCCCGCCGAGCTGGATGCCTACGCACAGAAGGTGGCCAACAGCCCGCTGACCATCAAGATCTTCCCCACCAACATCAGGGTCCCCCAGCACAAGCACCTTAACCGGACGGTCAATGGCTACGACACCACGGGGCAGCGGTACAGCCCCTACCCCCTGCACGCCGGCGGCTACCAGGGTCTCCTGGCCATCGTCAAAGCCTCCGGCAAAAGCGTGGTGAAGAACTCGGAGGGGAAGCGGACTAAGCTCTCGCCCGCCCAGGTTGGCGTCGCTCCCTACCCCGCCTCAAGCACTTTAGCTCAAGGTCCCTCCTGCGCCGCGCAGCTGAGCTACCACGGTGGCCAGAAGCAGCTGGAGGGTCCCGTGCCCCCCAACGTGACAGTGGCAGCCTCCGTGCTGCCGCTGGCGGGCAGGAGCCTGGCGCTGCCGCCGTCCAACCTGCCCTCCATCCAGAGCATCATCTACCAGATCAATCAGCAGTGCCAGGCGCAGGGCGCGCAGCCGGGCTGCCCGGCTGTGGTGGCCGCCAACCCCAGCCCGGCCAAGCACGGCACCTTTGCCGGTGCCTACGCCGGCGCCGTGCTGCCCGAGTGCCGCAAGGGCGCTGAGCTGGCGCTGGGCTCCAACCCGACCGCGGCCCTGGCACCCAAGGCAGGGGTGTACCCCGAGGGCATGGACTACCTGGTGTGGCAGCAGAAGCAGCAGCAGCAGCACCTGCGGATGTACAGCGGGGGAAGCGGGGGGGCCCTCAGCAAGTCCCCCGAGACGTGTGCGGGTGCGTCGCGGCCCTACGCGCTGGGCGGCGCGGCCGAGAAGGTGAGCTCGTCCCCATTGAACTGCATGCACGGGAACTTCTCGGTGGGGCAATACTTTGCCCCGCCTTGGAACAGCATCTTGGTGACCCCCAACAGCGACTGTTACAACCCACCCGAGCTGGGGGCCGGGCCCCGCGACCTGGGGGTGCCCCCGGGCGAGGGGCTGCCCAGCAAGACCCTCTGCAATACCTCCATCCTCAGCAGCAGCCTCCAGTCCCTGGAGTATCTCATCAACGACATCCACCCGCCCTGCATCAAGGAGCAGATGCTGGGCAAGGGCTACGAGACCGTGTCTGTGCCAAGGCTCTTGGACCACCAGCACGCCCACATCCGCCTGCCCGTCTACAGATAAGGAACCGATGCTGCTCTTCCCAAACCCAGGGCGAGGATCCCGGCGCAAGCCGCGCTCCCCTCCGGCACCGCGTGGGGCCCGGACCGAGGCAGCGATGGTGGCAGGGGGACGGGGAGGGGGGGACACACGGGGTCGGCTGCCAAAAGGGCTCCCGGGACACCGGCATCTCCCCGGGGTGCCCAGACTGGATTGAGCCGCATCCCGCCGGGAGGACCAAGGACCACTTGTCTATCTCTATAGCTCAGAAATCATTTTATCTCCACGAATGTGAACAGGGAATCGCTACGAGTTGCTGCTATCCAGGGAGAGGAGGCTCCGACCCTGCGGGCGCCCGGCTGGGTCCATGCGGGGCAGAGCCCCCTGTACTGGGCTCACCGCAACTGGTCCCAGCCCGGTGCCCGCAGGGAGCCGGTGCCTGACCTGTAGCTGAAGTCCGTAACTTGCACTGCTTTGATTAAAGCTAATAACTGGGGACAGTCTGGAGGCTATTTAAGAGAAAAACACTTGAAACTTGAACAGATTGTTTTGTTTTCGAAGTTATTTTTTGTAGTGACTAGGCTGTACATCTACGTGTTGGCTGCTACAGAGTCTCCTCACACCCCTCTTCCTCCTCCTCCTCTTCCTCGCCCGGCCCCGCATTGGCCACTGGCTCCTATTCCCATTCAACCAGGGGGGTCAGTACCCAGAGGGACCCCCTCTCCCGCCCCCTTTCCCACCGCAGGTCTCACAATTCCAGGCTGTTCCATTTCCCCCTTTACTGTCAGTTCCACCTTGGTGCTGGGTTAGCGGTGACCACGGTACCGGGGGCACTCACATACCTCCTCCTTTTCTCTTTTCAGTTCGGAACTGCTCATTAGGTTCCGTTCTTCATTACGTGTAATGATGTCTTTAATAGAGTTATCCATTCAAAACCAGCTCCACACCACAGAATACAAAGTGTTTTTGATGTCTAATGGATAAAGAAGGAAAACTACCCCGATGAAGCCCAAGGTGATTGTGCTCGGAAGAGAGGTACTGTATCCCTGAAAGGCCTGTTCAAGCACTAAGTGCATTTACAAATCTCTGAGAATGTTTTTTCTTTTATACTAAAATTGACCATTATATTCTACTGTGAGAAGTGCTGCTGCACTTATATTGTTTTAAAACAAATGAAGAAAAGATAAAAAAAAAGAAAGAAACACAAAACCCACAAGCCGTGTGTCCGGATGGTGTTTTTCCCAAAGTAAAGCCAGGATATCGCTGGATGTGTGTGCTCTGGAGTCTCTTTGCTTTGCTGTGGCCTTCCCCCCAGGACCCACCCCTTTAACCCACAGGTTTTTAGGGCACCTATAAATATCCCACTAACGATGCTGAGCCATTAATCCGGCCCCAGCGCCAACCTCCGCCTCGCACCCAAAGGGAGGCCGCGCACGTGGGACAAATCCGCAGGGATTAGGGCCTCGGCCCCATGTGCACCCATGGGATGCTCACCCCTCACAGCACCAATGCCCAGGTGATGGGCACCGAGGCTCCGGTATCCTCATCCTGGTACCCGCAGCCGCCACCGGTGCAGTGATGGCATCTCCCCTCCCATCCATCCACTGCTGTTTCCTGGTGCCAGGACACGAAGGGGGTCTCCGGATGGGATCTGCTCTCTCCTAACCCATCCCACCCACCTGCCCTGATCTTCTCTGCCCCACCAGCAGCTTCCCAGCCCCAACAATGAGCCGGCTGCATTAGGATAATAGTTTTAAATCCCAAATAGCTCCGGGCGGAGGACACGGCTCTGTGTCCGGCAGTGGTGACATATGGCATTGCCGTTATCCCAGTGGGAAGAGGGCTGAGGGCAGCGGGGGCTCTGCTGCCTGCTCATACCCCTGCCTGCAGCTGCCTGCGACCCCAGCAAAGGATTCCTTCATTTCCCACTCATCCTGCAGAATCAGGATCATTTCCAAACCAGCTCCTGCCCACACTTGCCCATGGCCATCACTTGCTGTGGACTGGTCCCAGTGGAACCCCACACGAGGGATGCAGGCAGTGCGGCCTGCTCCTGCCCTCTGGATGGGGATACCCAAACCCCAGCATGGCCATGGGCTGGGAGCCTCTAACGGGATGCAGAGGCTGGTTTGCTGGGAACAAAACTCCAGATACTCCTATTTTTGGCTCCTGTGCTGCTCCCTCCAGCCCTGCTGAGCACAGGGATGGGGATGAGGACACGGCATCCCCTGGAGCTGCCCCATGGCCTCGGAATGTGGCTCCATTTGTCTTCTTTGCCGGTTGTGCCGATATTTATGGGCTGCCGGGAGGGGACTGCTCCATCACCAGCAGCGAGCGGCGTGACAGCGACCCGGGAACAAAGAGAAATGGGGACAAAAGGGGAATTTCACAGAGGCTGATGTTGCTGAGGGGGTGGGAGACGCTCCCTGCCTGCACGGTCACATCAGACTGGCTGAGGACACTTAGGGCTTTGTCGTTAAAGAGATGACACATCAAAAGGAGCAGCGGTGCTGGGCACAGGGTGGTGGTGCCGGCCCCAGCCTCAGCCTCCCCATGGGGCTGCCCTCTGTGCTTGGGGGTACCAAAGGGGGGAACCAAACAGAGGTGCAAGGAGCCCCAGGAGAAACTGCTCCACTACAAGTGCCCCTCGGAGCAGGGATTCATTAGTGCTGCCTCCATCATGCTGCCCACATCACCATAAATCAGGGTTGGAGAATGGCATGATCCATCCTGCAGGTCCCCACACCATTACATTCCAATAGGGGGGCACAGGGGGGTTACTGTTTAGCAGTAGGAGGAGGGTTTACTGGGCACAGGAATGCTGCATGTGTGTAGTGCACCACAAATGGGTGCCTTCTCGGTCTGCTTCCATCCAGGACTGCCACAGGTGAGTCCGTGGGGACCCAAAATGGATGGAGATGGGGCAGGGATGCATGAGGATGCATCCAGGGCAAAACCACCACCACCTGTAACCCCCGGATGCCATTTCTGATGGCAAATGATGCCCTTTTCAACGATTTCTGATTGAAATGATGCCATTTCTGCTATTAAATAACACTGATTTCCAAGCAGATGGGGAGGAGGCGGGTGTTGAACGGGGCGGCCACCTTTGCTGTTTGAGCACAAGGAGCAGAGCCAGGCGGTGTGAACTGCGCGGCTGCAGGGGGACTCGAGCCAGCGCATCCCTCACCGTGATTGAGTCCAGCTTCATAAACTGAGCGTCAGATTCAGCTGGAGATGAATTTGCTGTCACGCTCCACGTTCCCAGAGCCAGGAGCTCTGCTCTTCTCTGTGCTGGGCTTGTCAGGGCTGGCGGGGAGAGTGGGAGGGGGCTGTGCCCCAGCATCACCAGGACCCCTTTGCCTCCTAAATCACACAATCCTATAACGGTTTGGGTTGAAGGGACCTTAAAGCTCCTCCAGTTCCAACCCCTGCCACAAGCAGGGACCCCTTCCACTGGAGCAGCTTGCTCCAAGCCCCTGTGTCCAACCTGGCCTTGAACACTGCCAGGGATGGGGCAGCCACAGCTTCTCTGGGCACCCTGTGCCAGCGCCTCAGCACCCTCACAGGGAAGAGCTTCTGCCTAAGAGCTCAGCTCAGTCTCCCCTCGGGCAGGTTCAAGCCATTCCCCTTGGCCTGTCCCTACAGGCCCTTGTCCCAAGCCCCTCTCCAGGTTTCCTGCAGCCCCTTTAGGCACTGGAGCTGCTCTAAGGTCTCCCCTTCAGGAGCCTTCTCTTCTCCAGGCTGACCCAGCCCAGCTCTCTCAGCCTGGCTCCAGAGCAGAGCTGCTCCAGCCCTCTCCCATGAAGCGGGTGTGATACAGACACAGGTGTGGTAACGCAGGGCTTTGCAGGGGGTAAAAGTGCCAAACATAAGTCCTGCAGCAACGAAGATGTCCCCATCCCCACTGGGGGGTCCAGACTGGTGCCACAAGGCACTGGGCACAACCACATCCATTCTTTCTGCATCCTAATGGCTTTAAACCCCAGCTCCTTGTCATTGGGACACTGGAATTCGGACAGCAGGGGGGAGGAATCGGTTCATTTTCAATTACGTTCTAAAAATCCCATCTCCAGCACCATAGCCTGGGGCAGCTGCGGTGCAGAGCCCCACTGGGGCTCCCTGTGTCACCCCGCACTGCGTATCCAGGGCTGGTCATCACAAACCCACTGGGGATGGGTAAAAGCAAGTTTATCATCTCCAAACACAAGCTGGGGTGAAGGTGGAGCCGCTCAGCTCCTCATTCGATTACACAGCGAGAGCTGGAACCTCAGCCTCTCCTAAGTAGCGATAATGAAACTTCCTCATTCCCTCCCCCTGGGGAAGTACTTAAGCCACAAGATGAGAGATAGATGTAAATCACATTTAACCGGAGACAGTGCAGTTGGAGCTAACGGCGAGTAATCAAGCCTGAAGATGAAGTGTCCCCTTTTCTGCTGTATCATTTGCTCACTGAGCTGGGCGGCCCCCAGGGCCCTGGCCAAGGTCTCTGCCACCGTGCACTGTGCCATTGTGACCCTGGTGCCCCCCCAGACCCGTCCCTCTGACCTACCCCATGTCTCAGTGCAAAAGGAAACTGGTGTGGCAGCTGGCTGTGAAGGGAGGCGAGCAGAAAGGGGGCATTGCAGTTAGAGGTGCGATGGGATGGGGACTGAATAAGATGGGGTATGGTGGGATGGGATAGGATGAGATGGGGTAGGGTGATTCCCACCAAGGTCTCACTGCCCATCAGGAGCATCCCCCAGACCCCATCCCCACCCCTTGCCCATCAGCAGGAGCATCACCCTGCAGACCCGCTCCCCACCCGAGGACGGGGGAAGGAGGCAGGAGGACACCGGGACGGTGCCCAGCTCACCCTCGGTTTGCCCCCGGTCCTGCCCCCCCCCAGCCCCGAGCTGCCGGGCGGGGTGGGCATTGCGCGGTGTGTGCTGCCCTCCAGTGGACGAAATCCGGCAGTGCAACGCAGCCCTATTCCCGTGCCCCGCAGCCGTGCTACACACACCTCCAGCTGAACGCGGTGCTGCCAGGGCCAGCATCTCCCATCCCCTGGGCAGAGCAGCCAAGCGGGGATGGCAACACCGGGTGCTGCAGCCAGCCAGGAACCCCCTGGTGCTCAGTGCCCGGCCAGGCTGGCAGGAGGCTCCGGGGCTGGGGGCAGCGGAGTGGGAGCTCAGTGTGCAGGGCGGCTCCATGGCACATGATGGGAGCAGCAGGGTCCTGCCTGCAGCGGGGCCCTCGGTGCCGGGAGGAGCAGCAGGGGCAGCTCAGTCTTTATTGCTAATAAATAATCATATAAACCTTGTGCAAAAACCTGTGGCAAAACCCATTGGGGTGGGGGGGCCCTGCCCGCGGCAGCGGTTTCCAGCATGGCACAGCCAACGGCGCCGGGGTGGCAAAGCGCAGCGGTGGCACTGGAGCTCGCCTGTGTCAGCCGGAGACCCCCCAGCACCGCCAGGGCAGGGCCAGGACCCCCCCATCCGGGCTGGCACCAGCACGAATCCCTGAGGAGCAGACAAGCACCATCGAGCCCGGTCCATGGTGCTAGAGTGGGGAGCCCAAGGCCTGGCCGTGCCGCCGCTCCCGCGCCTCCGCTGTCCCCATTGTCCCCAGCGGCACCACCACCTCCTCGGGCTGGCAGCTCTTGTTGAGCTCCACCACGCGCGGCACCACCGTGGACCAGCGATCTGCAAAGGAGATGTGGGGATGTGGTGGCAGAGCCGGGAGCCTGGGAATGCTCCCCATGCCATGGGCAGCCCCACAGCACCCGGTCTCCAAAGCAAATGGGGGCCTGGGGCTCATAAGAGGCTGGAAGCAGCATCCCGAGGGATGCTCCCAGCCCGCGCTCACCTCTCCGCAGCCGGCCCACAGTGTGGGAGAAGCCGTAGTACTGGTACGTGTCGCTCTTGCCTGGATCCTCGCTAATGATGCCCAGGTTCTGGTTCCAGTGGGACCAGTTCACCTCGTCCACCCTGTGGGAAGGTCAGAGCCAGAGGCGCTGCAAACCCTGCATCCCTGCACCATCCCACCACCAGCCTGGGTCCAGGTTAGTACCAACTGCCCAGCAAACAGGGACACATCCCCAGCACCCCCAAAATGCCACCGGCTCCAGTGGCAGAAGCTTGGTTGCTCCTGGTCCCCAGCTCCTGCCTTTACCTGAAGCACCAGCGGCGGTCAGGTGTCCCATCCGTGCACTTCCCCACCGTGACCATCTCTCCCGAGCGGAAGGCTTTCCGCAGGAACACCGGGAAGGAGCGCTCGATGTCCAGGA